ACAATGACTCAAGATATATAATGCTCAAAGTTTTCTATTTGACAATATGTGAAAGTGTGCAGAAAAACTTTATGTATGAAAGTAAAGAAAAGCTTGAGTTTGATATTTGAAAATTCAGAAAATATATTTGGAAGAGGTGTTGAAATGATTTTGAAAATGAGTATTTATATGTTCATATCACCTTTTTGAAACATCATAAAGTTCTGTAAATGAATCATGAACAATTTCCAAGATTGAGTGAAAGGTTTCCATGAAATGATGTTATGAACAGGCATGTGCAAAGCTGTTGTTTTTCAAAATCGTGCAGCATGCAATTGATTTCACCCTTTGTGTAAATCGATTGCACGGGGTTTCAACAGCTAGAATTTCAAATATTTTGAGTGTGCAATCGATTGCACAAAAGTGTAAATCAATTGCATGTGAAGTCAGTAGCAAAAATTGATTGAGTGCAATCGATTGCACAAACATGCAAATCGATTGCACTGAGAAACAGTAGCCAAAATTGATTGAGTGCAATCGATTGCATAAACATGCAAATTGATTGCACTGAGAAACAGTAGCAAAAGATTTGAAAAAATTGAAGCATGCAATAGATTGCACTCAAGTGAAAAATGATTTTTAGCTTAGAAAAACTTGAGTAAAGGTTTGGACAATATAAAATATTTCTTTTTACCATTGAGCATCTATGTCTTAAGTTCAAAGTAAGTATTATTATTATACCTTGAAATTTTGCTAAGTGCTTGAACTGAAGACTTTATCCATAGATGCTTTTAGCTTGATTAATAATCTTTGCCTTCTTTGTCAATCATGGTTTGTCCTCATCAAAACAAAAGTGCATTTGAGAAGCTTGATTTTACAATATTTAACTGCTTAAGTACATTGTTTGACTTATCCTTGGTTGCATCTTTATCATGATGTATGTCGTGTTCTTTTCTTTATAGTTGTCATCATTAAAAGATGATGTCTTTATTAAAGTTTATTACTTGCAAAACAAGGTTACACACCATAGAAGATCAAGTTTCCCCAATGGCCATAGATGTATCTAAATTAGATTCAGAAGATGTTACTTGGATAGCTCAACAATATATACCATTATCTACTATGTGTTATATTAGGATTCATTGTGGGATGTCAATATCTAGTCTTCTCCCAAGGCATCTTACAATCACACAATTTATTACTCTGAAACAGTATACCAAACATAGTTCAAAATGTTTACCATTACTATAATAGCCACCTTGGAGGCCCTAAGGCTCCAACATGAAGTTCTGAGGCACATCAACAACAAATGCAACAACAACTTCAAGATTAATACACCAACATCTATAATCTTCAAGGAACCCTAAAAAATATTTTAGCCATAATTATAAACCTAACCTTTAGGAACCCTTAGTTTCTACTTATATCTATGCACTTTGTTGTATTTTGTGAACATCGTTTGACTTTATCTTTGGTTATGTTTATCTCTATTTTTTCTTCTTTTATTGTTTAGAGTTTCATTTTCTACTTGTATGTTTTTATCTATTTCTCTACCAAAGATTTTTATTGATGGCAAAAGGGGGAGAAAGAAAGTATTATGTCAATATGCTTATATAGATATAAATAACGAATTATAACAATGTGTGATTGTCTATAACAAATCATAACCATGAACTAGGTAAATCAAACCCAAATACATAATAAATATTTAAAACCAGGTTGCTTAAATGTTATAAATCTAAGGCCAAATAGTTTTCCAATGCACTATAAGTTAATAAATTTATTTTCATTTTAACTTAGCTTAGACTCGAGGGGACTTACAAACCTAAACCTTTAAGTTATTTGTTGGAAAACTGTTTAGAAACTTATATGTGTTAATAGAGAGATTGTTAAACCAAATATGGTTTTAAGAACAATAACATCTAATTGTAGAGTTTTGATGATGACAATATAATTTAGAACAATTGATACTCTAATGTGTTTGTTTCTATATGTACAAAATTTTGAAATCATCTACAAAAAATAAAGACATGATCGTTTAGAGAAGAAATTGATCATATGCACCATAGTCAACAAGTCTGACCACCTAGATCTCAAATGTAAATGATCATCAACACCTAGATGAAGGAAATGTTGGGGGAAATATGGGCTCGAATGGTCTAGAAGAGGTAGGGGTTGAATAGAACTTTCAAAAAAAATACCAATTTAAAAATTTAATTTTTGAAATCTAGTTCAATAAAAACCGCTCAACATAGGGGAATTTTTTGTACAAATATATGCTTTTTGGACTGATGAAAATATACACTTAATCAGAAACAAAAAATGAATGATAGATGATAATCCTAATCAGTCGATGTCTCGATTGACCAAAAATTTATTTACATGCAGAGTCATTTCAATTAAGTAAGAAATCTGACATTATAGTTTTCAGTGTTAATCAATAGTAAGAAAGTTTTATAATATCAACACAACAAAACCTAAAACTTATTTACAAAATTTCTACCAATACGGTAAACCTTGATATCATGCGATTTTAAGAAAACATTAAATCTAAACATGCAATCCTAAGTAAAATATAAAAAGGGAGAGAGAGAGAGAGAGAGAGAGAGAAGAGAGAGGAGAGAGAGAGAGAGAGAGGAGAGAGAGAGAGAGAGAGGAGAGAGAGAGAGAGAGAGAGAGAGAGAGAGAGAGAGGGAGAGAGAGAGAGAGAGAGAGAGAGAGAGAGAGAGGAGAGAGAGAGTATGTGTGTGTGTGTGTGGTGAGAGAGAGAGAGAGAGAGAGAGAGAGAAGAGTGAGAGAGAGAGAGAGAGGGAGAGAGAATGAGAGATAATATATTGAATTTATAGTTGTTTAGCAATTCGTCATTTCTTATGCCTACTCCACTCTCCAACAGTTGCCCATTGAAATTTTTTATTCTTCCATTATGATTTTGACAATATTACACATATTAGTTTAGTACAATCACAATTCTAGATAATGCAAAAAATAAATATCTTCTATCTGAATCTTTTTTGACTGTACACGACTTTAAACATTGAATTCTTGCAAAATCTTTACTCAACTTCGACTTCAATCTTCCAGCTTCAAGAATGCTACTCTACGCTTTCGTTCCACAGCGACCTTTACTCAGCCCTATCGATTCCTTGAGCCTTGAGCTATTTGAAGATGAGAAAAACTCCAACTTCATCTATAGCAACTTCCACACAACTCTATTAAAATAATCTTAGAGAGAAGAACCTCCTTCTTTTTCTGCTAGATTGTCGATCCCTGCCACAACACCATACAAATATGTGCCCCCCTTGAAATCTTCCAAAATATTCACAGTGTTATTCACAAAACGAACCTCATCACACATATCTCACACCCTAAGATGAGAACTTAATCCAAACAACATGGAAGATGCAAGTGGTTGAATATGAAGAGAAAAATGTGTGTTTTGAGTTCTATATTATAGAGATATTAATAGGGGGATTTTGAAAAAAGATTTATATATGTGATGGAGATAAGTCACAAAAATGAGAAAAAAATACACATTTGATTCGAGTAAAAAACAAAAGGGTATGAATCAAGTTAATAAATTGAATCATTTGAACCAAGATCTAAGAACCAATAAAAATTGATCTCATGATTCGAATCAATCATTTTTATGATTTGATTCATGTGATTCGAGTCAACCAAATATGTGATTCGAATCAGGATTACATAACCAAAATCCAATTTTTTTTCCATACTTTGATTCGAGTCAATCATCTTTATGATTCAAATCAAACATCTTTGATTCGAGATATGCTTTGATGCAATTCGAAATAGACTCATGGAAGCAAAATTCTATTTTTTAGAACCATGTTCGATTCGAGTTTGACAATCTTTTTATTTGAATCATACTCATAGAAGAAAAATCCCAATTTCTCACAATTAGCTTGATTAGAGTCAACCATTCTTATGATCGAATCACACTTCGATACTTTCAAAATTTAACAAAAAGTAGTGTTATTCTAAATCGAGACTTGGAATGAATTAAACCATTCTCATATGTGTTTATTGATCCAAACCTCTGATTATTAGACTAGAAACATGTTATGCTCACCTTAGTTAAATAGTTTGATTTATGCATGCATAAAAACGATTAAGCACTCAACCTTAGAATGCGCAACTATGTGAGAATACTCAATTACGGAAAATAAAATAAATACTCAAATTGACAATCAACAAAACATAAACATGTAAACTCTAGGAGGCAGAGCAACTTTAGTGATCATCTACAGTAGAGTCAGTAAGTATGACTACATGATCATTTGTCCCCAACTATAATCATCTATATACTCAACATACGTAATTACTTATGTCTAGATGAAAAAATGATATGTATATCTGAAAAAATAATATGTATATCTCAATAACAAAGATCTATTATACTATATAATCATATAGAATAATCTCTCAACTGTCACATCGTGACAATTGTGTAAGTACAATAAATAAAATGATAAGTATCTCAAAAACAAATGAATAATTGATAATGATTCCATACAAATAACACAAATCCAATATCTCCATTCCCAATGACCAAAATGATTTAGAATGACCAAAATGATTTAGAATTTCTCTGTCTTATATAAATGACAAGTTCAAATGTTAAAGGTTACAAACGATGCCATTGTTTAATTGCATTATTGTTGTGCCACTCAATTTGTAAGTTTTGGAAAACATTGTCATATTAACAAAGAACAAATATCAAGTCACAAAAAAGCTAATAAGTTGTCTTAAGTTTACCTTACCACAACATGCGAGTTGTTGTAAACAAATCAATTTCTAATATTTTCCAAAATCTCTACTTTTAGTGTTTTCTTAGCTTTAAAGTCTTTCTAACTACTCACCCCACATTTCCTTAATAAAGAAAATACTACTAGTCATCATTATCCATTGCCACGTTTCTTTTCTACACAATCATTACTCTCTTCAACACTGACACACAAAAACACACATCATCCTCAAACAAAAACCAAACACATTACCATGAGATGATGTTTCATTCCAAACCCATTTTCTCCTTCATCTTCATCTTATTCATTTCTATTTCCTTTGCTTCTAAAGCCACACCAAATCATGAAGAACAACAATCCCTCACTTACCTATGGCCACTTCCTTCAAATTTCACTTCAGGAAATTACTCTCTCTCCGTTGACCCTTCACTTACTCACTCTGTGATAGGAAATGGCGGTGTTGCTTACTCTCCACTTCTTGATTCTGCTTTTGAGAGATACAGAAGCATCATTTTCAAGCATGCTGGGTTTGGATTTGGTAGAAAGTTGAGGGCGAGTTTTAGTGTGGTTCCTTATGATATTACTACATTGAATATCGTTTTACATTCAGATAATGAGGAGGTGATTTGTTTGACTTTCTGTTGTTGCCGTTTTGTTTGGTCAAATTTGTGTCAAAATGAAAATATCATATCTGTTTTTGAGACTTGAGATTGTTTTTCTTTGCAGCTTCAACTTGGTGTTGATGAAAGCTATACTTTGCTAGTTTCCAAAGGCAATGAATCTTATGTTGGTGGAGAAGCCACCATTGAGGTGTGTTGTGTACTGCTCATTGTAGTTTACAGTTTGTGGCTTCTATTTTACTTATGGTGTTCTGGATTTTAATATTTATGAGGTATACATAAGGAAATTGCCGGATCGAATTGTTGTTTCTAATGTGGAAAAATAACACATCTGTACTTTGGTATTCTTATTCTAGATAGTTGTTATATATCTAACTTTGTGATTTTACACATGGTAGGCAAATACCGCTTATGGTGCATTGCGTGGATTGGAGGTATGCATAGAATTTGCAAAGAATGATGCATAGAGAGCAGTTAGTTCATGCTTAACACTTAAATTATCTTGCTTTATGGCTTATTTCTATAACAGAGATGGAATAAAGAAACTATTTTCATAGTGAACTTACGAAAATAAGTTGAAAAAAACTTATAGATATTTCATAAGTTGTTTCCATAAGCTTTTCCAAACAATCCCACCAGGGCCCCAAACAATCTTACCAGGGCCGTCTTTCAACGCGTGCAAGGCGGCCTACAACACAGGGCCCAAAACTTGTCATAGTTTAATCGTGGCTAAAAAGGGTCTCATAAAATATTGTCGCGGTTAAATTGTGGTTAAATATGACCTCTATTTGTTTTGCCATGGTTAAGCTGCGACTAACCTACACAGTGTCTTCAAAAAACTTGAGATGACTCTAAATATTACAAGTGCTTATCTCAGTAGATAAGCTCAAAGAAGTAAATCCAAGCAGACCTTGAAATTGATTTCCTTCTTATACCTTTACGTTACCGACTTCATATTGTAGAAGTATGAAACTTAACATGTATATCTATTAACCTAAACATTGTAAGTTTAAGTTACTTAAAGTGTGAGATTATCTTCTTCTACTTTACCTTGAAAATTTAAAACTCGACTATTGTTGTCTTTGCATGACGCACCAGACATTTAGCCAGCTGTGTTCTTTCGATTATACAACTAAAACAGTACAAATCCACAAGGCGCCTTGGTCCATCCAAGATAAACCTAGATTTGCATACCGTGGTCTTATGTTGGGTGAGTCACAATGTTTGCAATGACAAAAATTAATATACATCGAGTGATATTATACTATCGCCTAAATATATTGATTGATATGTATGGTTTCTTGTTTATCTATTTTTGCAGATACATCGAGGCACTATTTACCAATTAGCATAATTAAGCAAGTTATCGAATCTATGTCCTATGCCAAACTTGTAAGATAAATGTCATAAGTTTCTTTTCTTTTCCTTCCACGCTGTTTTTGACTCTTGGAAACCGAAGAATGTGATTAATATAAAAAGAATTAATCTTCATAGAATGTTCTGCATTGGCACATCATAGACGAAGAGTCATTTCCGCTCGAGATACCTACATATCCAAATTTATGGAAAGGTTCGTATACAAAGTGGGAACGTTACACAGTAGAAGATGCATATGAAATTGTGAAGTAAGACTTTTATTATTCAAATCATCTTTTCTGCATTTGTCCAGCTTAAATAATCCATAACATGGTTCTAAATTGTGGTATGTAACCGCATCGCGGCTGCAATTTAATAGTTTTATAGTTCTTTGCCACAGCATCACAACCCCATTTCAGTTTCTTTTTCTATCACTAACAGATACTGTGATTTCTTTTCATGTTTCACACTGATGATATAAAGCTTTGCCCAAATGAGAGGTGAGGTATTCTGAACTTCCTTTTGACGTTTCTGGTGCATGATATCTTCGGCATTTTGCAGTTGATCGCAGTTTCAGATTTTTTGTTATCCTTTTTCTTTAGTCTCTCTTTCATCTTCTTGCAAAATAGGTTTATTATAAGAATAAAAGCAAATGTGGATATTCTGATGACGCTATTTCTGATGGTGATTAAAATATCAACGGTCACATTATTTAACTCATGAGTATTTGTTTCAAAACAGGTATAAATGTGATGGCAGAAATCGACGTCCCTGGGCATGCAGAATCATGGTAAAACACACACCTCGGTCATTCTTTTTTCCTTAAGTATAGCCCGACAGGATGATAATAATTGGCTTCATTACAGTGGCACGCCGAGACCAAAATTTTGTTTTCCTTTTCAAAATTTTCTACCAATATTTTTTTGAAAAATGCTTTGTTTTCTGCAACAAAGTTTATGCGTTCTAGCATGTAGCCTGTAGTAGCATTAAATGCTTCCTTTGAAGGAAATTAGATATTGAATGTTCCATACCAGATGTGAGACTTTTAACACACCCCTCTCACTCAATACTATTGGGTTTGATGTTGGATAAATGGTGGGTGGTCCGATATCAAAAATCTGATAGTAGTTTGCTCAACAGATTTCGGATAGACCCTGATGTCATAATCTGATAGTAGTTGGCTCAACCGATTTTGGATAGACCCTGATGTCATCTTAGAATTTTTGGATGAGCTTAACTCATCCTTACAAAACAGCCTTGTAAGATGACGATTTCCTCCACTTAGAAACATTTTTTCATACCATACTTCATCCGATTTGAGTATTTTCATGTCATACTACGTTCAAGGGCATCTTCCTCCATCACCACAAGTATGTCATAGATTTGAGTTATATGGCTAGTCTTCAATCAGCTAATTCGGTGGATACTCCTCTTGAGGTTAATGTTAAATACCATCGCGATGATAGTGATTTTTTGTCCGATCCCTTACTGTATCTCCAATTTGTGGGTAGCCTTAAACTACTTGACTATCACTCGCCTTGACTTATCTTTTGTTGTTAAGCAAGTCAATTCATGAATTTTCCTCGCCATCTTCACTTGGTTGCAGTTTGTCGTATAATTCTCTACTTGAAAGCAACCTCTCATCGTAGTATATTCTTCTCCATTGGAATAGCTCCTAAGTTGAGTGTTCAAGTGATGTCGGTTGGGCAAGGTGTCCTGATACCCGGTGATTTTTCACTGGTTGGTGATCTCTAAATCTTCTAATGAATCTGAGTATCTTGCGATGGCTACAATAGTTTTCCTTAAACAGAGCCAACATCACTTTATGTTGACAATACAAATGTCATCCACATTGTTATAAATCCTGTTTTTTATGAACGCACAGAGTATATCGAAAGTCAATTGTCATTCATTCTGTGACGCGTCTATGATGACCAACTAATATCACTTTCTCATGTTAGTACTCAGTTTCAGTTTGCATATATATTCTTACCAGGGTTGTTCTGCGCCCATGTCATCAGTTTTCTATTAGCTAATTGATGCTCATTGACCAACCGCGTCAATTTAAGGGGGATGTTAATCGGAAATTAATCTCATCCTTTATTGTAAATAATTTACTTTCATAGAATAGATTAGATAAATTAGAGACAAAGACAGTACTTCTAGTGGCAAGTAGCATTCATCACCAATATTCAATGTTTTTGTTTTCTGTGTAGGGGTGCTGGGTATCCTGATCTTTGGCCGTCGCCGTCTTGTAAGGAGCCACTAGATGTTTCGAAGACATTTACTTTTGATGTCATTTCTGGTATTCTGTCAGGTTGGTTTCCTATAAACCTTAATCCCGATGCGATTTGTGCGCTACTTGTAAAAACATTTCAATCACTCATATATTTACTATTTTTTCTCTCGTAAATTTTATAGATATGAGAAAGATTTTCCCGTTCGAGCTATTTCACTTGGGTGGCGATGAAGTTCATACAGGTCAGTATGAGTGCTTTTCTTCTCGCAACTCCCCAAAGAACAATTTGATCATAAAGCTTAAGCTGTTAAAAGTTGATCTCTAAAGTCATAAAGCTCCACACGTATTCTCTATGAACTTTACGTGCTGTACCGCCGGTACGTTCCTTAATATCGGTAATTAATGAAATATTATGTATATTTTTGACAGATTGTTGGAGCAATACTCCCCATGTAAAGGAATGGTACTGATTTCTAAAGCGATTAACTTGCCTTTAATTTTGGATACTTAAGTAGAACTCTATGCTTAATGAGTACTGAGTAATGAGTTGACAACAATTTTGATTGTAGGCTTCAGAAACATAACATGACCACTAAAGATGCCTATGAATACTTTGTACTGAAGGCCCAAGACATAGCCATTTCAAAAAATTGGATTCCAGTGAACTGGTATGATCAGTATACATATATACTATACATATATGACAATCTGAATAAAGAAACTGGTTTTCAAATGCCAATTCATATACTTTGCAACTCTTTAGCACCAACATCTCTGAAAAAAGGCGTGTCAGTGTCTGTGTTGGACACCGACACAACACCAATACTTTGATTATGTTCAATTTATTCGTTTTTTCAAATTTTTACCGGTGTTGACGTGTCAGTGTCGTTGTTTGTGTCCGTGCTTCATATGCACACGCCTCAGACGGTATGTAGCCTTTACACTTCAAATTGAAAGTTGGAGTCTGACACCTTCACGATATGATGCTTGTGATTACGTGTCGGTGTCGCGGCTGTGTTTGTGTCAATACTTTATAGAGCCACAATGTAATATCCGAGCATATCAAGAACTGTAATTAATTATTTTATGGTTTAATATCCTTGGTTCCGTATGTTAACTTAAGAGGTTTATTTTGGTTCTTAATTTTGAAAAGTATCATATTAGTCCCTTAACTCTTGAAAACGTACCATGTTAGTCATTTTCATCTAATTAGCGACGAGTTTAATGACTGATTTCTGAGTTTTTCCGTCGTTAATTTGATGAAATGGACTAACATATACGTATTTAAAGTTAAGAGACCAAAATGAACCCTGAAATTAACATACAAAATCATAGAGTATTAAGCCTTATTTTATTTACTGAGTTGCGTTCTTGTCATGTTCTTAAATCACGTTTTTCGTATGTCTTCGCGTTCTTAAAATATGTTTATTGTATGTGGCATTTTCTTTTGTAATTTCTCAGGGAAGAAACCTTCAATACATTTCCATCAAAGCTTCATCCCCAAACAGTAGTGCATAACTGGTGAGTTTCCATCTATACAACTAGTTCTAACGCGGTACAAAACTCAATTCTCCGAGTTGCAGGATAAAATATTTAAGTTCAAAACTGTAGGCTGGTCTCTGGTGTTTGCGCAAAGGCTGTTGCAAAAGGTTTCAGATGCATTTTCAGTAACCAAGGTTTCTGGTATCTTGACCATCTAGACGTACCTTGGAACGAGGTCTATAATACCGAGCCGTTAGAAGGTATACACAAAGAATCAGAACAAAAGCTTGTACTTGGAGGAGAAGTTTGTATGTGGGGTGAGACTGCTGATGCATCTGATGTTCAGCAAACAATTTGGCCTCGAGCTGCCGCAGCTGCAGGTAAGCATCTCTTTCGTTTTTCACGGTACTCGTATTATGTGAATATGAAAATACATAGGGAAAAAATTAACTGGTTGATGTTTCTGACAGAACGCATGTGGAGTCCGAGAGATTCTACTCCTGCAAAAAATCTTAACTTCACGGTATTGCCGCGGTTGCAACATTTCCGATGTCTATTAAATAGACGAGGCGTGGCCGCATCTCCTGTCACAAACTTTTATGCTAGAAGGGCACCTGATGGTGCAGGCTCATGCTATGATCAATAATATGTATAATGTTTTTATCTGTATTTGTGTAACTTGTTGTGAAAGTAATTGGTATTTATCTACTATGCTTGGCTGATGAGCTAGAATTTTCATTTGGTGCTCATATGCTTGGCAGTTATGGTCGTTGTATATTAGAGCTCTCTAGTGATGTCAACAGTTACTATATTGTAATCCTATTGTAATATCTATGAGAAACAAATTCAAAGTGCATGTAAAAAAACATTCAAAAGGGTCTAATGTCACAAGCTAGAAATATATTCGATATCGTCTTGCACATTCTAGCTCAAGTGGTAGAAGCGGATATTGTTAAGATGAATGTCATCATCAGGGTTCGAACTCTGATGATATTTACAGTTGAGTGTGTTTTTGAATGCCCTTTTCAAAGATTATAAGATGAGTTATCCCCTTTTTAAAATCAGTATAGGTAGATGCAATCATTCTAAAGGTTATTATCATGAGAGTTTTTTGTCTATATGTTGGGAGACATATTTTCATAGGAACGTGGAGAGGAGGCTTGGCTTTTCAGAGTTGCAATGGTTCTATCACTCTTTTCATGAAAAGGTGCGTAAAAATAGAAAATATGTGATTCTAAAAAATACAAGGTGTATGTAAAAAAACAATCAAAAGGGTCTAATGTCACAAGTTAGAAATATATTCGCACATCATGATAATAACATAAACCTTATCACACATATATAATGGTGATGTGATGTTTTTTAATGCTCTTTTCAAAGATTGTTGGATGAGTTCTACTTTTCAAAATCAATATAGTTGCATTCATTTTAAAGGGTTGACAAACCGAAATGTCTGTTTTATAAAAATTTGTAAAAAAATAGGATGAAGAAAATATAATTAAGAGTGTGAGTTTAAAATTTTAATCAATTCCACAATAAAATATGGACGAGACGGATCCGTAGACACTATATCTTTTAAGTTTAAAAATACATAAAATTATATTAATGTATGTGTTCGCAAAAATTCATATAAAAATACAGATGATAGAACAGACGCATTAAAAAATAAGAACTTAAATTCTTAATAAGCCCCGCAATCATTCTAAAAGTGAAGAGAAATAAAAATTCGCGAAAACTCCACTCTCATTGAAACTATAACTATAAACTCCATAGCTCCACTCCCATTGAAACTATAACTATAAACTCCATTATTCAAGTAACACCTAGCATGTCATATCCAATATAAAGATACATGTATTTAGAAGAGAGTACGCCCAAAAATTTCTATGCGACACCCAATTCTTATCTCACAAATTTTAAACCATTTTTAATTATATTATTTTATAGATTTTAAAAGTATACCACACATCAAATATTACAAAAGACACTATATGAGTATCTAGAATTTAGGTGTCCATTTATCATATCTGTATTTAGAATACGTTAAAACTGTTAAATTGTAATTCATAGTGTCGAAAAGATTAAATTTGTTTTAGATTTAAATAGATTTGATTTAAGTATAGAATAGATTAAATTTGATTTAATAACAAAATAGATATTTTGAACTTTGAACTTAGGGTGTAAGCTCAGTTGTAAATATAGGGAGTAACCCCTATTTTTTGTAAGCAAGTCAAGCAAGTCATTCACAGTATTTTGCAGTTGCAAAGTGAATAAGAAAGTTTTCACAGTTTGTGAGCAGAGAAAAACTCTGTAGAAATTATTTGTCTTGTCTTCTTTTCTTTGTTTGTCTCATAATTAAATTGTCATTGTGGTAGAAATTCATCATAAAATTTGGTGGATTTCCAACATCTGGTATCAAGAGCTTTTATTTCGATTCAAGGGAAGTATCAATCAAGAACGATTGAAGAATTCACGATGACAAGTTATGGGAATGCAAATTATCCAGCAACCCTACCAATTCTGAAAGTTGACAACTATGAGAATTGATGCAAACAGATGAAAGTCTTATTCAGGTGTCAAGGTCTTTGGGATCTTGTAAAAGATGGAGTCGAAGTGCTTGGAGAAAACGCTTCAGAAGAAGAAAAGAAGAAATACACAGAATCTGAGAAGTTGAGTTATAAAGCATTATTTATAATTCATCAATGTGTCAGCCCAGACAATTTTGAAAAGGTTAGTGATTCAGAATTTGCCAAAGAAGCTTGGGAAATCCTTGTGAAGTCTTTTGGAGGCGCTAAGAAGGTGAAAGAAGTGAGGTTACAAAATCACAAAAGGACGTACGAACTGCTTCAGATGGAAGACAGTGAAAGCATATCTGATTTCTTCACTAGAGTTACAAAACTAGTAAATCAAACAAAGATATGTGGAGAAACGTTAACAACAAGAGCCGTTGTTTCAAATATTTTAAGATCTTTGGCCCCTAAGTTCGACCACATAGTGGTAGCGATAGAAGAGGGGAAAGACTTGTCAAAATTGACAAAGGAAGAGCTTCAAGGGATGCTTGAATCTCATGAGAAAAGAATGAACGAAAGAGCTGCAGGCAAATCGAAGAGTGATGTGGCCTTGCATGCATATTCAGCAAAAGAGACCAAAGGCAAAGGAAAGTGTTTCGACAGAGGTAGATGTGGCTACAACAAATCGAATGGTAGAGGAAACCAAATCGAAGGAAACGTGTCCAATCAAAGAAGACCATACCAAGGCAACCAAAGAGGTGGTGTTGCAAATAGAGGACGAGGTGGTGGTCGAAAACCTGATAAGAGTCACATTTAATGTTACAATTGTCAGAAGTATGGTCATTATTCGAGTGATTGTCCATAAAAACGAAAGAATCAAGAAAGTGATGTAAAGCTTGCAAAACATGAAGAAGAAGAGATGATGTTGATGGTCACAACAAAAGATGAAGATAGATTCAAGGACCAATGGTACTTGGACTCAGGATGCTCATCATATATGTCTGGAAAGAAAGACTGGTTTGTCAATATAAAGCCCTCAATGAAAAATATGGTAAAATTTTCAAATGACAATACCCTAGCAGTTGAAGGTATTGGTGATGTTATGATTATGAGGAAAGATGGCAAAAGGTCAGTAATCTCCAATGTGTTGTACATACCAGGCATGAAGATCAATTTGCTCAGTATATGGCAGTTGGTTGAAAAGAATTATAAAGTGTCAATTGAAGATAAGATGATGAGAGTCGTTGATGCAAATGGGAGATTAATCTTGAAGGCTCCTATGTCTCAGAATCGAACCTTCAAGATTGAACTAAATGTGATGGAGCACAAGTGCCTTTAAACTGCAGCTAGCAGAGATGAATGGATATGGCATTATAGACTAGGCCATCTCAACTTCAGAGACATCAGAGATTTGAAGAGAAAAAATATGGTTTCAGGATTTCCTGAAATTGACATTCCAAATGAAGTATGTGAGGAATGTGTGCAGGCGAAGCAACACAAGAATAGATTCAGCAAGGATGTAGGAAGCAGATCGAAGGCTATTCTTGAAGTCATATACTCTGATGTATGTGGACCAATCCAGGTGGATTCGATGGGAAGTAACAAATACTTTGTTACATTCATAGATGATTTCAGTCGAAAGCTATGGACTTACCTGATCAAGAAGAAAAGTGAAGTGATCAAATTATTTGCCAAGTTTAAGTCGAAAGCTCAAAGTTTTGAGAAATGATGGCGGTGGTGAATATGTGTCGAAAGACTTCGATAGGCTCTGTGAAAAGGAAGGGATTGTGCATGAGGTAGTGCCACCCTATACTCCATAACAAAATGGAATTGTAGAAAGGAAGAATCGAACTATCATGAATATGGTGAGAAGTATGTTGAAAGGCAAGAATTTATCTAAAGAGTTTTGGGGTGAAGCTGTTTCGACTATAACATACATTTTGAACAGATGTCCCACGAAGAAGCTAGAAGGAATTACTCCAGAAGAATGTTGGTCTGGTGTGAAGCCTAGCTTGAGTCATCTGAAGGTATTTGGATCTATTGCACGTAGACATGTGCCAGATCAGTTGAGAAGAAAACTTGATAACAAGTCAAATCAAATTATTCTAGTTGGATATCATTTGATAGGAGGCTACAAGTTGTTCGATCCAGAGAACAAGAAGATTGTGATCAGCAGGGACGTGATCATAGATGGGTTTAAAGAATGGGATTGGACTGAAAATGTCAAGAAAGATTCAGTGAGAATCCTATTCGAAGAACCAAAAACTCAAGTTGAAAGAGAAGTTCGACAAGAGGAACCAACAGATATACCAAGTACAAGCAGACCTCAAAGAACAAGACGCATGCCTGCAAGATTGCAAGATTGTGTGATTACATCAAATGATGTGATAGATGATGAAGGTGAGCTGGTACATTATTCTTTCTATGCAAATGTTGAACCCGTTAATGCAGCTGAAGCATTGAAGGGTTCGAAGTGGGTGAAGGAAATGAACAAAGAAATGAAGTCTATCGAAGACAACAACACTTGGTCACTTGTCGAATTGCCTCAAGGCAAGAAGGCAATTGATGTCAAGTGGGTATACAAAGTGAAAATGAATTGGAAAGGGGAAGTAACTCGACACAAAGCAAGGCTTGTGGCGAAAGGATTTCTACAGAAAGAAGGAATAGACTTCAATGAAGTTTTTGCACCTGTTGCTAGGATCGAAACAATCAAGTTGGTTGTTGGTCTAGCAGAAATAAACAGTTGGCACATATGTCAGATGGACGTGAAGTGTGCATTTCTAAATGAACCCTTAGAAGAAGAAGTTTATGTTAAACAACCAGTTGGATTTGTGAAACATAACAAAGAAAAAAAGGTGTACATGCTGCATAAAGCCCTGTATGGATTGAAACAAGCTCTAAGGGCTTGGAATAAGAAAATTGATAGTTTCCTAAGGGAGAAGGAATTTGTGAAGTGCACAACTAAACATGAATTATATGTAAGAAGAAGCAAGATTAAATTGCTTATACTATGTCTCTATGTAGATGGTTTATTGATAACAGGTAGCTGCAAGAGTGAGATCGAAGACTTCAAAGGTGATCTCAGTAAAGAATTCGAAATGTCTGATCTGGGTGAGATTTCATATTTCCTTGGTAT